TTAGTTAGTTAGTTAGTTAGTTAGTTAGTTAGTTAGTTAGTTAGTTAGTTAGTTAGTTAGTTAGTTAGTTAGTTAGTTAGTTAGTTAGTTAGTTAGTTAGTTAGTTAGTTAGTTAGTTAGTTAGTTAGTTAGTTAGTTAGTTAGTTAGTTAGTTAGTTAGTTAGTTAGTTAGTTAGTTAGTTAGTTAGTTAGTTAGTTAGTTAGTTAGTTAGTTAGTTAGTTAGTTAGTTAGTTAGTTAGTTAGTTAGTTAGTTAGTTAGTTAGTTAGTGATTTTGGTTTTTGTTTGTTTGTTTGTTTGTTTGTTTGTTTGTTTCCACGGGGTTTAATCAAGGGAAATCTTTGCTGGATTGGGCAGCAAAACTTGCCTTACTTGGTTGCAATCTGAGGTTCTATAATTGCTTACGTCCTGTTACAGAATAATGTAAACTGAAATAATCCTGTTTTTCAAAAGAGAGTTCCAGCTCTTCTTCTTCTTCTTCTTCTTCTTCTTCTTCTTCTTCTTCTTCTTCATTATTATTATTATTATTATTATTATTATTATTATTATTATTATTATTATTATTATTATTATTATTTATTTTTATTTCCATTTTATTTCCATAGTATGACAGTGCAAGTTAGAATTGTAGTACAATGCTACCACATTACTTACATATCCTTTCAGTAGATTGTCTGTCTTTATACCTCCACTAGTTCATATTTTAACATAATCAATTAATTAATTCTTTTTAAAAACATTATATGCCAGCAATCCAAATTACTTCCCGTATCACATTCTTCTTTTCTTGAGCTAATTCCATATGTTAATGATGGTTGCCAGGTTGCCATAAATTTATCCTGTTTTATTTCCCCCTCTATATGTCACTTCCAGCTCTTTAGAGGTTTACCATCTAAATTTTAAATTCGTTATGAGAGCTGTCTTAGGTCTCCAGTGGGCAGAAAGGTGGCCTATCGATATACAGTAATAACGAAAATGTTTTATGTTTAGATGGATTTATGTTTTTGTTGAAGGCATCTTAAATATTGGAATCGTTTATTATTTGGTGTTTTTTGTTTTAAACTTTGTTTCTTTTAAATACTATAAGGTGGCTTGGATCCTTGGGGAGAAAGGCAGACGGTAAATAAAATAAATAAAATAAAATCGGCAGGCATGAGGAGTGGTTGGGGAGCAGTGAGACAATTTACCTTGCTTGTGTGCTGACTCTTTTTCCTCGCCTTCGCAGGCAAGTCTTGGAAGTCCTTGACACCCTCGCAGAAGAGACCTTACGTCGAAGAGGCAGAAAGGCTGCGGGTTCAACACACGCAAGACTACCCCAACTACAAATACCGGCCCCGACGGAAGAAGCAGGTCAAGCGGATCTGTAAGCGAGTGGATCCGGGTTTCCTCTTAGGCAACCTGTCCAGGGAGCAGGACCCCCTGCCGGAGAAGAGGGTCGCGTGTGGCACCAGGGCCCTGGGCGAGAAGGACGGGACGGCCGAATATTCTCCCGCGTCCGTGCTGCCGAGCCTCGGGAGGTACCGGGACGCCCCCGGGAGCACCCCAACGGCCCACATGGACAGCAGCTATCCCTACGGCCTTCCCACCCCACCTGAAATGTCTCCCTTGGATGCGATTGACAACGAGCAGAGTTTCTTCTCTAGCCCGTGCCCCGGTGAAGACCCTCACCATCCCCACATGTCCGGGGGGCCTTACTCTCTGGAATATGCTCCCAGCCCTCTCCATTGTAACCGCCCTCTCAACCACATGCCGGTCAACCAGGTCTCCTCCATCCACTCGGCTCCTTCCGGTTGCCCGACGGGTCCCACCTTGGGCAGTTATTACGGGCCGTCTTTCCACCCCACCCTGCAGCCCCCCAACCTTTCCACGCACTTGGGCCAGCTCTCGCCTCCCCCCGAGCAGCAGAACTTTGACAGCCTGGACCACCTGAGTCAAGCAGAACTCTTGGGGGAGATGGACCGCAACGAGTTTGACCAGTATCTCAACGCCCCCGGGCATCCGGAACCTAGCGGGATGATCCTCAGTGGACATGTCCAGGTGTCTCAGGCGGTGAGCGGCGCCCACTCCTCCTCCGAGACCAGCCTCATCTCCGTCCTTGCGGATGCGACGGCCACTTACTACAACAATTACGGCATCTCCTAGAGAGAGAGAGGAGAAACTGCTCTCCATTCACCCATTGAGGAAAGACTGAGTGGTTTTTACAAGATGAAAGGTTTGGGGACCCTCTCCGGCCAGCTTTCCCCTTGACCTCAGGGAGTTGCCCAGACTGAACTGAAATGGCTTTGGAGGTGACTCTTTCCCAAAGAATTGCTGTAATTTATCATTCCTCTCTCCTTGCTCCCACTCAGTCTAGACCTTTGAACATCTCGACTTCATTTCCCCCACACACTTCTTTCCAACCTTTGATCTTCTCTCTTCCTTCCATGTTGAAGCTTGCATTCTGATTGTCTTGGTTAGGATGACAGAGTAAGCCGGACTGTACACCTCTTACTATACTGGGGGCTGGAAAAGACTTAACGTCCGCATCCCCTCGCCTGCAACTGATCTGCATATCGAATTATCCCAGTGAGAAATAATTGCCCCGTAGCGAAAGTTTGAAAGGACAGACCCTGAGGATTGCCACCTGAGGACGTTCATCTAGATCTGAGCTTTTTTTTTAATGCCTTGCTCTTTTCAGGTCCCAATCCTGTCTTCAAGGTAGTCACGGGGAGATCACTAGAGAATGGGTACAGACAACAAGTGATTGGGACATTTTATATAGCTCTTTTTTCAAATGCAGGCTACCAGCCCCAGGTGCTCATGCATCCAGTTTCCCTGGGAATTTCTCCTAGGTAGACCCTCTTTGCAGGAGTTCCATGCGGTGCACGCACAGGTCCCTTGATGAGCTTGAGCTGACGTTTTTGGCTCACATGTCTTTTTATCAAAAAATACATGTATATAGGAGCTTACCTAGGAGATTTCCCCGGGTTAAAGATAGAAAAAAAATAGCCTTTGTCAATCAAATAGCATACACTCATTGTCACTTTCAGCTTGCACACACTTTTCATGTTACTCCACTGCTGTTTCTAACTCAGTGGGTTTCATTCTGAAATATTGGGGGAGGTTTAACCTGGTTTAGCAAGCAGTTAATGGGATTGATACTCATAAAGCTGCTTTGGGGGTCTTATCCTCCAGCTCTATCCTCTTGCTTGAGTAGGAAAATGGTCGCTTAGTCTAGGGTTGGTTGGTTGGTTTTGTTTTTTTTTAAATGAATATGTTCCAGAAGTGACAAATGTCTTTGATAAAGAAAGAACATATGGCAGAAGTTACCCAAATGAACACATTTCTTCATAAATTTGACGAAAGGGAACTTGAGCTGTGGGGGAAAAAATGAATGTGGGAGGGAAGAAAAACTCACAAGTTTGTGCGTCAACTTTTTGGAAAAGTTACTTTCCGGGCTAAAACCCTGGAATCTTCCAGGCCAGGACACAGATTTATCATCCTGGAAAATAACTTTTCCTTGCTAGAAGAAAGTCTTGTTGTCTCTTTTCACTGAGACATATTTGGATCTGTGTGTCACAATACTGGAGCAGAATGTTCTAGACGGTATGGACCGTCTCTCCAGCCAAATCAGGAGGAGTTTTTTAGTCACACCTCCATCAAATTAAGAAGTTGACATAGAACAAAGCACAGGTTCATTCATGTTTCAAATCAATTTGAACCTTTTATTCAACCTTACAATGGCAATATTGGCATTCAGTACGGGTATAACAGTGGGTGTAATGTCACTGCCACCAAGTAAATTTCTAAAATTTAGAAATTATAGAAACTTCTAAATTATAACAACTGGTTATTTAGAAAAATAACCACTTGTTATTGCTTACCCACTTCTTTTTTAAAAAAAAAACTATCAAACTGGCTGATGTACTCTGATGCTTTCACAACCATCAAACGTTAAGGAAAAGGCAAATATAACGCTGTTTTATTCAGTGGTGATTGGGCCTCCATGCAGAGGAAAGAAAGGACGAGCTAGCTATATGATCCCTTCCATTTATTATAAAGAAAAGGCACTGAAACTTATCAACAAGGCCTTTAAAAATCAATACCTTTCTGCAGCCAGAAGGACGCTCAAGAAACTGGATAAAATTCAACCGGAATCACTGGGAGCATGCAAAAATTTGAGTCACCTCAGTTGTGATCAGTCTGCATTTCCCTTCTTCCCTCACTAATTATATTCTAGTATTGTGGGTGCAACACAACTAAGCCCATCATTAGAGCCGATAGGACGCTAATACGGGTAGGAGGTGTTTGAGGCAATCTTCGGGGTTTGTGAGATCAGACGTCAAAGGAATCACATACAGCGGCGCCTCGCTAGACAGTTACCCCGCATGACAGTTTTTTCGCTAGACATTGGCTTTTTGCGATCGCTATAGCGATTCGCAAAACAGTGATTCCTATGGGGGAATTTCGCTGGACAATGTTTGGTCCCTGCTTCGCAAACCAATTTTCGCTAGACGACGATTTTGGCAGCTCCCTCCGTGCTCGCAAAACGGGTGTTTTCGGGACCTAAGCTTTTCAAGACAGCTATTTAAACATCTGATCGGCGGTTCGCAGAGCGGCTTTCCTATGGTCGATCTTCGCTAGACAACGATGATTCTTCCCCATTGGAACACATTAAACAGGTTTCAATGCATTCCAATGGGGAAATGCTTTTTGCTAGATGATGATTCGCTAAACAGCGATTTCAGTGGAACAGATTGTCGTTGTATAGCAAGGCACCGCTGTACTAGAATACTAAATACCGGTCAACAAATAGAGCAAACTGATCGGCATCCCAGCTCCTGCTGTGACACTCAAATGTTTTTGTTAGTTAAGGATTTTCCTCTTCTAATCACAGGTTGTCTATAAGTCTGCCTTGGCCATGTGTCTCTCTCAAAGGCTGGTTCATTTTTTTCTGTATGGGGCAAAGTTAGGAATGAGGTTCAGATGCACCTTTGAACCTCGGTGGGTGGTTTCACAAGTGAAGTTAAACAGCTTTGCGCGACCAAAACAGACGAGACACCGGAGATACCACATCCAACAGTTTTACTCTCACTTGAAAGCATTTGAAGAAGCTGAGGTAGGGCCAGAATGGAACCAGTTTACCTCCCTCAGCCTTGCATCTGCTTTTAATTTAAAACTGAAACTCCAAGGAGGGCTTGATCTTGAGCACCGTAGGTAAATCGTCCACTCAGTAAAAGTCCTTGTGGACTAGTAACGTGGATTGGTTTTTCAAAGGCTGCTCTTAACACCTATATTGTATTTTAAAAGCTGGGGACATGGTTAGCCAAGCTTGTCATGCAGAATGCAATGTGTGTATGTCTCTTAATTACCGTACCTGGAAATGGTTGTTAAATGGTAATATTCTTTTGCATGAATAATCAAAGGAAGGACATTGTCAATACCCAGTCGGCTTTTGGGATTGCAAAATTCCGTTGCTTCCTCTCCGGGAATGTTACGTGCTGGGTGTGGAATTTCTGTAAACTACACTAATGTTACCCGGCTGCATCGTGGTCTGATGTCTTATGCTTAGATCCCGGATCATTTTGTGAAACCCCAAACTTAACGTTCCCGGGCAGAGGTGAAGTCAAGTGGCTTTTGAGAAAGAGAGAGAAAGAAGGAGACTCACAAACACACACACACCAGCACTGAAGTAAAAACCAGAGCTTGTAAACTTTATTGCTTTGTAAAATGAACCCCCCCAAAGTAGCTTTTCTGAGTTCTGGGTTTCGATGGGCGTGTACAGCTTCCTCTCTTCTTGCAAATATCATTGTTCCATACTCAGAGGAGTTGTCCATGTGTTTCCCTACCTTCATCCCCCTCCTTCAACTAGTATCAATTGAATCATGAAACAGGATTTATAGCCGAGTGGCTTAGACATCTGGCTGTAGAGCCAGAGGCTGAGAGTTCGATTCCCCCACTGTGTCTCCTTGAGAGGGGATGGACTGGATGACCCTTAGGAGTCCCTTCCAGTTCTGCAATTCTAAGATGATGATTATTACAGTGGTGCCTCGCTTGACAACGATAATCTGTTCCAGGAAAATCGCTGTTAATCGAAATCGTCGTCAAGCGGGGGAAAACCATTGGAATGCATTGAAAACCGGTCAATGCGTTCCAATGGGGAAGTACCTCATCGTCCAGTGAAGATTGCCCATAGAGAACTGCCAATCAGAGGTGGAAAAGCAGTGAGCGGCAGTTTTAAAACTGTTAACTCTGCATGGGGTTTTTTAACCTGTAATACGAACAGGGAGAATAATTTACTTTGCAAAATGTAACTTTCCGAGCACTGCAGGAGCACCCCCCCAGCTATACATTTGGGAGGGAAGAATTAATTGAAATTGCAAGTATTTTTTTTCTATCTATAAAAGACCCTTTCTGTACAAGAACTTCTCTGCATCACTACAAGCGTCCAGGTCTCTTGGCTGGTTTGAAAACAGAGCGTTCCTGGGGTTCTCATGAAAAACAGGCCCTGTTGAAATCCATAGCCCAGCAGTCCTAGCCAGCCTGGTTGAGGGTGAGGCATTATGGGAGATGTAGTTCACCACCTAGAGGGACCAAGCCTTCTGAGTTAAAAGGTGGTCGTACAGCTTCTTCTGGCCAGAATCCTATAGCAGTTGCACAGTGGATGCATGTTATGGGTGTGTGTGCACGATCATCCGGATTCGCCATGACATTCTCGTTTGCACCCGTGTGCGAGGGATGGCCAGAAAATGGTGAAACGTCACTTCCACCATTCCCTTTACTTATGCACTATTGCGCAGTAGGGTTTGGTCCAAAGGATTCTTAAGCCGGGAGGAGAGAGAGGGAGGAAGTCATTGGGGGGGTGCACTGATGCCCAAAATTGGACTGGACATAAAACAAACAAAAAATAGTACACCTAGGAAAGCCGTTCCACAGCATTTCCTTCCAACCAGGCTTTGCTTTCGAACCTGTGACGTGTGTCAAGTTTCACAACCGGTGTGAGATTGAGTGTACAGCGGGGTGGAGATTTTGGGACGTTGCATCATTGAATAGGATTCTGGCCCAGGAATTTGAAAAAATGAAAGAGGGCAAGGTCTGACTCCTTCCCCACCCCACCCCAACCATCCACCCTGGGGGAAGGAGACACACCAGAAAAGATGGGACTTTTACCCCAAAGGCGGCTGTTTCTGTTAACCTCTTCCCGACAACATTACAAAGATCCTGCTTAGAGCTTGAAAAGGTTACGAGTACATTTTTGGGCCTCCGTGTCCCAGATTCCACCAGCCGACTTTGCCAGTGGTCCAGCGAGCTGGGGATTCGGGGGGGTGTGTGTGTGTCATCCAACACCAGTCTCTATCTTTGAGTAGAGTGGGGAGTATAAATGATTCACACCCCGTCTTCGAAGCCGACTCTGCAGGAGGATCGGCGACAGATCGCTGCGGGCAAAACGTGTGGGCAAAAAAAGAGAGGATGATTTCTGCAGGCATTAGAAAAACGGAAACATCCTTTGGTGGGGACCTTGTGCCGTTTGAAAACTTTAAGGATAATGAGGCTGAGGGATTGATTTTAGAGGCTCCGTCTGGTAGAATGGGGGGGATGCCTAATACTGCCTGGCTTAGAGGCATTGTGCCTGGTCTGAGTTCTAGTTATGACTTGAGGTAGCCTCAACTGAATTGAAAGGCCAGTTATCTGCGTGGTTTCCCCTCCTTCACTTCAAGCCTCTTTTTCATGAGTGACACCAGATCCAGTAAAAGTTTTTTTTTAAAGATTAACATGAATACTCAAATTTTAATCAAAATGTTGGAAAAATTACTTCAGTCATGCGGGCTACGATTTGTCTCAAAAAGCGACGTTATTACTTTCAGCCGACCATCAATACGGGACCTTGGTGTTTAGAAATAAAATGTTTTCTAGAAACCTCCACAAGTCTGCCTGACATTTGCTCTCTCTGTAAAAAGCACCTGTGTTCCAAAAACCTTCTGCTTCTCTGCACCTGCTTTGTAGTTTTCTCGTATGGACAGAAATCGGCTGTTTCTTTGTTAATCAATGGTTTAATCGAGTTAATCTCAGTGTAATGATTAGTTAGCTGGTTTATATTGTTCTGTTGGTTTGTTTTCTGATTTTGTCCCTGAAAGTGTGTGATTTAATCTACCAATAATGCTTTTATATATAAATGAAAATAAATGAATCATAAAAAGTGACATTGCAGTTTTTTGTCCCTGTTTCCCCCGGTTTGGCATGTTTCTGTGTTCCTGGATA